TACAAGGAGTCACAAGCAGGCAACTAGCGCGCACGGGATTTGATCGCAACAACGAACTCCTCACACACTCCCGACGTCAAGATCTTGCACATGTCTTTAGCTCTCTCTCTCTGCCTCTCTGACGGATGCTTGAGTTGACAATGACATGTACAGCACGAGCAACAAAAAAGCTAGAGGCTCAAGTTGAAGCATGGAAATGGCTCCCCACCCATGGCTGGCAGGACCTCGTGCCCAGATGTCAAGCAGAATCCATGGAGCATCTCTAAAAGTATTTGACGTAAGTATCCTTAGAACAGGAGCATATCCATCTATCGCCGGCTGAAGTTCCATGCACCCAGAGGATTCAACCTATTGTGGATCAACAGTTCTGACATTAAATCTGTGATTGTCGGAGCCACTTCAAGATGTTGGGTGAAGTTCGGGTGTTGAGGAGGGGCCCCCTGTTATACATTAATTAGTCGGCGTGGGGATCTAAACCCCAACCCTGAACCCAAAAACCCGGCCCCCCAATTCCATAAACCCGTCTCCCCAATCCCTAAGCCCTTTGGCCCGAAAGCTGTATGGGTGGTTGTCAATATTAGAGTCCTTTTTTGGGTCCTTGTTGTAATACGGCACCTAATAAATATTTAGGGTACCCCAAACCCTAAACCCTACCTTAAGCCGGAATAACCTACCTTTTTTAAGGACTTATATACGGAAATTATAATAAGGAACCCAAAAAAGGTAGGTTATTCCGGCTTAAGGTAAACCCTAAACCTTTAGCCCGAAAGCTGTATCTCAGACACTCTCTTGCAAGCGGCCCAGCACCTCGAACGCTTCAGGGATTTACTTGGAAGGGCAGGGGACTTAGTAATAAGAGTTATAAGGACCCTAAATGGAGTTACCCCAATTATAACCCTACTTATAACCTACTTACTAAGTCCCCTGCCCTTCCAAGTAGGGGTTGAGAGGGCTTTGGCTTTTAGTTTTAGGGATTTAGGAGTTTGGGAGGCTTGGAGGGATTGGGGTTTATGATTTCTAAGGATTTAGGAGTTCTGAGGTTCAGGGTTTAGGATTTAGGGGTTGGGGGTTTAGTATAGGGTTTGGGGATTTAGGGGTTGAGGGGTTTAGGCTTTGCTTTTAGGGTTTGAGGGGTTTAGGAGTTTAAGGGTTTAGGGTTCAGGGATACAAGGGTTTCTATGAGTTGCTATGGAGTTATAGAGGGTTGGTACGGTTGCATAGGACCTGGCCTCTGTGATTCTAGAACTGTTCTAGCGGAGGTTATGGTTCAGGGGTTCAGGGTTTCAGGTCGAGGGTCATGGGGTTCAGGGTTTAGGGGTTTCGGCCGCTTGTAACGTACTGAAGAATATCTCCTAATCGCTTAAATTAGCTCAATACTGTCATTATTGCTTTGGGTTTCTCAATATACTTATCCCTACACAGCCCTACTTTAATTGTTAAAGCGCCTAGATCAAGCCCTTATGATGACCCCTACATAACAACCCTTGTGTAGCACTGACAGGAACCGCTTAAAGCGACCCTATCGCGGATCCCGGCAACCCCAAATACTAAACTCTAAAGCCTTTCCTAAGGGACCTAAAGCTGCAAACAGTGAACAAGGCCCACTGCAAAACCCAGAAATACCTTGTATAGCCCCCTACACTCGTGTTGTCGCCATACTAATGATAGGTGTTGTAGGACCGATTAAAAACGATTTCGATATTGTCAAGGCCCCTAGCATACTGCCAGCCGTGGCACCGGTGGGCTCACGTTGACGGACGGGTTCTGGTACTGTGTACCTGGTCTGGCCCCAGGCAAGGGTTTACGGATGTAGGGCTCCAGGCCCTGCAACCCACGAGAACAAAGCCCTACCATAGGGCCATAGGGGGGCAGGGGGGGAGGTAGCCTTATGAAGTCCTTATTATGAGAAAGTTACGTTTTCATGATTGCCTTCTTACGATGCTGCAGCATCCGTACCCTGAATTCGAAACGAATGAAAGACAGAAAGAAGAATCTCCGAAATACTGGGAGGGGGAGGATTCCGACTAACATGCCGCACCATCAACTGAAACTTGCTGGGAATGCTTCATTCGCCCCCCCCCCCCGCCCGCCCGTTCTCCACCAAACCGTAAAGGGAACTCCAGAAAGTTGGAATATGGTTTCGGGGTAGGATACCTTATAATTTACCATAGAAGGGTTTAGGATAATCATATTCCAACTTTCTGGCTTTTACTTTCAACCCCTGAACGCCGTAAACCTAAAAAACGCAGAAGCGCTCGACCTTCAAGCGCAAACTCCTAGAACCTACTAGAACCTACAGCACTACCCTAAAGGGTCCATGTACCTATATAGTATATATATATATATATATGTATATACATGGGCCTTAAAGTAGTTCCTATAAAGGTACTTTAGGGCCAAAGTACCTAGCATATGGGTACAAGGACATTTACTGGCCCCGATTTGGCAAGCTCACAGAAATTTAATTTCTATGGCTGTTGCTCAACACGTGGGAGAGCAAGAAACAAAGGCCATGTTTATGAACTGATTCCCGTGAACATGTGCGGCCAAGACATGACTTTTCTCGCTGCTCTGTCAGTCTCCACAAAACTCAGAATCTGCGGCAAAGCCTGGGACAGGAGTTGTTGCTGTCCTGTTTGCACATGTGTTAGAGGGCCGTTGTAATGGAGTCTGGAGGATTTATGGGGTTGTGAGGCTCACAGGGCTTAGGATATAGAGTTGAAGAATTTAGGATTACAGGCATAGGGCTACAGGGTTCTTTGTGTGCAAGCATCGCCGCGAACCTTCTACCTGCACCTTTCCTCGCTGCACTGGCACCCTATAGATACTAAACTCTACAACTCTCCCCTCCGCCCCCCCTTCCGAACTGGAGTTCCTGCAGCATGGGCCTGCGGCTCGGCCGACCAACAAACCTGCGCCCGCCTGGATGGACGAGGTAAATGTTTAATAGGGTTCAGGGTTTGTGGGTTTGGGGTTTGGGGTTTAGGGGTATCGGTGTTAAGATGCAGGGAGGTGTTGGGGAGGTTGTTGGGGAGGTGCTGGGGAGGTGCTGGAGAGGTGCTGGGGAGGTGCTTGGGAGGTGCTGGGGAGTGGGGGTTGGGTAGTGGGGTTCGGGGTTGGGAAGCGGATCCTTAAACGAATCCCTATGTAGGACCCACAAAGCCTTGAAGATGAGTTTCGACCTCAATTCTGGTAGAAAGTTTGAGTGTTAGGCCGGTATACACGAGAGCCGACAAGGTAGAGGGGCATATCTTGGATCCTAAACCCTACAGCCTCGAAATTGGCTTCGTGTTCTCTTGCAGGATGCCACTTCTCCAAAAGGATGGCCTAGAGCCCCACCCCCCGCCCAATTCCTACATGCTCTGCTAGACTCTAAACCCCAAGCCCTAAACCCCGAACCCGAGAGCCCGGCTTCTTGGAGAACTTTGCCGAGGCTTCGCCTTGATTTCGAGAGTAAGGCTCGTTGTTTTTTTTGTTTTGGGGTTTGCGTTGAGTTTAGGGTTGAGGGTGTAGGGTTTATTATAAGGCTTATAGTTTGGAAAATCGCATGTTTCCTGAGTGAAGTAGGAGCTGCAAAGCTTGGGAAGTCCATGAGTGAATCTGCATAGTTACTTGTTTTCGGCATACATGATCGCCAGCACACATGATCTTCTATGTAGACAGAGCTCTGTCGGCACAACAGCACGCAGCAGCGATCTCATAATGTGATGTACCAATGGTGTTCGATGCTGTTCGGATGCCAAAGCTAGCCGTGCCGCCCTGCGAAGCCATCAAAATTAGACTGACTAAAGAGTCACAAAGAAATGGCCTGTGCTACGCAGCAAAGCATGAGCTCAGCTATGGCGTAAGGCATTGAGTTCGCAAGGACTTGTGCCTGAACCCCTGGAGTCAGCAGGTGAAGATGTACTGTCCCGGGAGCGTAGCCGAGCAAGTGCAAGAAGTCGGGGCCCTGCAACTCGCGCAAACCAGTCCAAGGACCAGTGGCCAGAATGGCAGTGCCCGAGTGTGGCAGCGGAACTTGGGCAGTGGTTCGCTGCCGCTTGCCTTTTGACAAGATGTAGTAGGTGACATCCTGCTGCCCGTCCCTGGGAACTGGCTCAACCTGGGCACTGCTCATAGCCATTCCAGCATACTCATTGAAGGGATACGAAAGTTTGGGGACAAGACCCTGAGGCCGCACTTCCTGAAGAGCACTCTGGAACTTCTCATCCAGCTTCTCTTTGCAGTCGCCCTTGCGCAGGAACAGCATGAAGTTGCTTGCAACATCAAACTGGCTATAGCCTGCCCAGAGCACTTCTCGTGAGATGCCGCTCCAGCCGTCATGCTCTGGCACTTCCGTACGTGGGCCATCCCCAACAAGCATAAGGGCCACGCAGACGATGCTCGGGATCTGCATAGCTTGCACCAGAACATCTTGCCAATGACGGCGCCCAACGGAACCCATGAAAACATCTCGCCCTGAGCCCTGCCCGACATCAAGACGGCATTCATGTCCTTCAGGTGCCGCAAGGCATCTGACGCGATGAAATCTGGATTGGTACCTGATCCTTGCAAGGATCGGGATGTGCTCCATTGTGGGGCTCATCGACAAAACAGGCCCTGGCAAGTTGAACAACAAGGCCGAGTTGAAGCCCTTGCCATACCACATGACACGAACATCTGCTGGCAGCCGGGGGCTAGGGCCTTTTGAGGCCGCACCGGCCATGCTTCCACACCCCCTGCCCCCAAATGCAAAACACTTGGCCCCAGCCAAAGGTTGCTGATACATAAAGTAGCTTGCGAGTTAAGGCTCCACTGCCAGCCATGCATCAAGCAAGCAAGAAGGCACATGACGCACAAAGGACATGTTGCTACATGACCCTTTTGCACAAAAGACCACCTGACTTGCTTCGCCAAAATTTGCTGTACTGCAACCGGGCCAAGGGTCAATCTAGTCTCGTAGCACATGCCCCGGCCCAGCTCACAAAACTTCAGCCCTGCCGCAGGGCTTTGCTCTGGGGTCACTTGGACAAGTACTGAGCAAGAACTGGCAGCAGGACCCTGGCCAGCTGGGTGAATGCCATTGCATTCCCAGCTAAGCTGGACAGCTCACTTTCAGAAAGGCCGAGCACACTCTTGTCTGTCATGTTGTTGCCCAGCACGCCAAGCCCGCCCTTGCCGCCCAGAATCTCCCACGTGTCCATGCGCATGAGTTTGGAACTGGTGCACATCGTCCCCCACAAGCCACTCAATGATGTAGCTCCCCTGAACGTGCTCTGACCAATGTCGGCAACGGGGAACGGAGTTCGCGGCAAGGGCCCATGTTCCTTAATCATATCATTCTCCATCTGTGTCAAGATCTCATGGTAGACATCACAGTTGGCCTGGGCCCACGGTGAGAGGCCTGCTCCCCATTTCAAGCTTGGTCTGGCATGCCGTGGGGGTGGAGTGAAGTTCTTCGGCAGCCGCCCGGCATTGACAGCCTGCTCCACTGAGGAAGAAAAGGATGCAGCATACTTTTGTTCCAGCTGCCAAGAAGGTTTGGAAGAATCCTGTCCGCCTTGCTCCGCCTGTGAGGCCTTTTGACCATAGAGCTTGAAGAAGCCGCGAAGGTGATGCCTTGGAAGCTGTAGCTCTCCAAGGGCCAGAACATCTTCCTTCCATTGCTGCGCTGTGTAGTCAGAGGCAGCAGATCCCAGGATCCACAATCGTTTCCGATCCTCGGGGAGCGGGGCGGAAACGAGCTCTGCCACAGCCACTGTGAAGCCGGAAAGCTTGGCGGACAAACAGTGCAGGTAGTAGTCCAAGGGGGTCTTGAACTTGGACATTTCTTCGCAGAGCCCTGTGTCACCAGCGCCATTTGACCCTTCAGAGGCAGTCGACTTGCAATGTCGTGGCATCCTGAAGACAAAACTTTTGCATAAACAGCAATGGATAGCATATGCATACACGATTGCATGACTTTTCAAATTTGAAGGCCACTCAGCTCCCCACGTGGCACCCATCACGTTCTCCAGTACCCAAAACTTTGGGCGGTGAGCTCCAAGCACGTTAAGCATCATGTTGAATGTACTCATAGACTCAGCACCCTCGCGACACGGATCGCTTCTGAAGCGGCCAACATGCCTAAGTCTGTATGAATCGGCCCACAACTAACTCAAAAGGCTGGGATGGTCAGGAGATCAGTCCGAAAGCCACACTTCAGCCCAGCAGCTGCTTTGAGGTTGACTTGCAAACGAAGCCGCCAACAAAGAATGCGAGGTTGCTGCAGCTTGGAGTGCTGCAGGTCTTGCCATGAGACCAGCAAAATCCCGACGACTGGCTCAAGGACGTGGCGTCCTGCCCGAAGCGCACAATATGAAGACTGCATACAACCAACATGTGACCTGCTTGCCTGGAAGAGATGCTGGCACTGATAATTCCGCAGAGAATAGAAAGCAGCAGCACGACAGTTCTCAGCTCCTTATTTTGGACAGGCCCAGCTCAGCAGGTCCACAAGACTGAAACAGCAAGAGAAGATGTCTGCCAAGCAGCCGCAAATCTGTCGCGGCTTGATGTTGAGTACATCCTTCATGACCTTCATGACTTGGCCAGGTGCATTGCTTCCATCAAAAGCCGATGCCCAGGGAACGAGCTGGCCATCCCCTTTGCTCACACCAAGATGTGTGCAAAGCGCCTCCACATACTTCACCTGATCAAAGGGATCCTCCACTGCTTCAATGAGAAACTTGTCATACTCCGCCTGATGCCGCTTCGAGGTCTTGGTCTCAGTCCCCGCGGCTGCCGGGCGTTTCTTTGCAGCCTTCCCCATGACCGTCAACTAAGTCAACGCGATGATGATTGATATTTGATTCAACCATCTTGCCCACCTATGGCCAAATCTCTGGAAACACGTCATGTGCTTGGACCTGCAAGGATGCTGACTACACACGGAACCTTCAACCAATGAAGCTAACCAAGCAAACGCGAGCAAGCCAGATCTGCAATCGCAACAATAACAAAACATGCGAAAGACACATGTGGGCAGCGAACATGCTCATGATTCAAAGCAACTTCTGTCCAGCCTGGTCACAAGCAGCTGCACTCTTGCTAGCAGGACATCACATGTACAGCAACACACACTGGAGCAACTCTGGCTGAAGCAGTGACGACAAGGACATGAACATGCTACGGCCTTGGCTTTTCCAACCTCACGGCTGTGATGCGGTAGCCGCACTTTGCACAAGCCCGCTGTAGCAGAACAGCGTTGCCCTTGAAGTGGTTGTATCTGCTCTAGATAACCAAACTGTAGAAGAAGATGCATCTCTGAACCTAGATGTTGCTAGGGTACTGGGGGCACGGGGCATGCGCTCGAAAATTCGCAATTTCCAAAAAGACAGGCCCCTGGCTGCAACAGAATCCTCAAAAAGCCATGCCTGTCCAAGGGCTGCTCTATCTATAATTCAGACTCAGGATGAATCCTGTGCAGCCGGTGAACACTGAGACTGTGCTGGACATAAGGCACGTCCAACTTTCACACGCTCACGCGGACACGCTTCACCGGCTTGTCCTCCAATTTCCCATCGATGCTGTTGACAGAGTCGAATGCTTCCAGCTCCTGCTTCAGCGTGTTCACCTCCATCATCTTTTGAGCAAGATCACGACGCAGATCGGCGGCACGAGTGCTGTGCCTGCAAGGCAGGGATCAGTGCAAGAACATGTCTTGGACCATGTTCCCTTCTGTTTCACGTTTCCTTGTGTTTCAGTTTTGGGCAAGAGCAGGATAGGGGCACATCCTGTAGATTTGAAATCAAATGTTGTCATTGGGCTGCTGCTGAGTGCCTGCTGATGGTGCTTTTCCTGTCAGTGTTCAGGTATGCCTTGTGCACAAGTTGTTGAAGCCAATTTGTATTCTGCAATCCATGTGCACCATCCGACTTGCGTCAAAAAGCTAAGCAAGGAATCATCAGACTGCCTGGTGCGCTGCAAGTCGTCCATGAAAGCAGAGTAGCCGGTCTCGGAAGCAAACGTGACACCCAGCTCACCCTTCTGGATACAGGCAGCGGCTGCCACCTTCAGGGTGTGCTGAAGGGCTTGCTTCTCGTCAAAGAACCGATCCTGAGGATCTTTGGGGCTTACCAGCCAATAGCCAGCAGGGGCCGCCTTCTCGGGGGCCCAAGCCACCGTGATATCCTGGAAGGCATGTCTGACACTGGGGCAAGTCAAGGGGATGATAAAGGAAAAAGAACAGCCCTTGTCCTCACTGCTCTTCAAGAGATTGGCAGGGATCGTAAGAACAAGCACCGCCCATGCACCGTCATCCATGTTTGGAGTCCGCGCGGCCCTGGCTGCCATCTTTGACATGAGCAAGCAATCGACCAAGCTCTGGAACATAACCATCCCCATCTTCAGTTCCTTCTTCTTGTTGCCATAGGTGCTGTTCTGCATGTACTCCGCAAGAGGCATCAACATGAAGTCTGAAGTCTTCCAGTCCTCGTTCATCTCGTAGTCCCGCAGAGCGACATAGAATGTCCACATTGCATCATTGGAGTGGGAAGGATTGCTCGTCCAGCAAGTTGTAGCCACAGCCGTGAGGCTTGCCGTTGCGAAGCTAATATCCCAGTCAGGACTGTCCAAGCCGATTCGCATCCTAAGGGGGGTCTCCGGAGGCATGTGCGGCCCGGCATGGAACTGGTCTGCAATGATCTTGCCGTTGTCGCTGTTGAAGAGGCGCATGCTTTCCGGCGATTTGATCACCATCTTCATCATGATGAGCTCCTTTGGCAGGTCCGCCCCTCCCATCACCTTTCTCGTGCCAGTCCCAACCCTGGAAAGGTTGAACTTCAAGCGGCGACCCTCCTTGTAGATGGCATCCTGACTGAGCTCAATTCCAAAAGTACAAGGATGTCCTTGAACAACTTTGTGCTATGGCAGAAGCCCTGGGGCCCTACCACTGCAAGTTCAAGAAACGATGCCCTAGCTAAGCTGAAGCTGAGGTACAAGGAAAGCAGCAAGAGGCTCACTTGAGAGTACAGCAGGCTCTCTGGAGATATACACAAGTGGCGGCTCCAGGTAACCAAGGCTGTTCGTGATTTCCTGCCACTCCCCATCCTGGATGGCAAAATACCATTCTGACATGGCTCCAAAGCAGCACTTATTCCTTGCCAGACTCAGAGCTAGAGCAGTTCCAAAGGCTGCAAGAAGCACACCAGCGCACAACAGATGATCATGACCAACGGCTGTGTTCAGACCAGCTCCGACACAGTTCTCCTGCAGAGCAAACCTCCTACAGAGTAAGGCTTGTACAGTCTCCTCAATGATGGCATCACCTGGCTTGGCAGCCGAAAAAAATTGACTGGCAAGATGGAAAGGTTCAAGACAGAACATGACCGCACAGTCAGAGCACAGACCTGAAGGCTCAAGCAAGGCTCAAGCTGCATTGGTTATGTCACAGTGACGCTTTGTGGCACAACATTCAGGACCGCTTGCCGCCAGGGCAGCACACTGCATGTATCAGGCCATGGCCTGACCTAAAGAACTGGCGCCAACCATGCGGAAAACTTCTTTTAAAATGATCAAGTAGTGGACCCCACCAATGGCCAAGTCCCAGGACCCTAAACCCTAGACCCTATTTAACCCTAGACACTAAAACCCTAGACCCGACACCCTAAACTCCCTAAGCCCTAAACCTAAACCCTTAAGGCTTTAAGCCCTACACACATGGGGGCGCGGCTCCAAGGTGAAGCTCTCCAGCTCCTCCGGGCTTGTGGGCTTAAAAGACTTAGGGCCTTAAGGGCTCAAGGTCCGAATCCCTAAACCTCTCAACCCTGAACACTAAACCCAAATTTAGGGTTTAGTGTGTTGGCCTTAGGCTTGGAGGTTAGGGCTTTAAAGGGTTTAGGGCTGTTTAAGGTTTAGGGTTGGGGTTTAGGTTTTTGTTTTAGGGTTGGAGTTTAGGGAAGGGTTGGGGCTGGTAGGGTTTATGGCTTAAGATTTAAGATTTAGGGTTGAAAGGGTTCAGGGTTTAGTGTTTACGGTTTTAGCTTCATCATGCCCAAAAACAGAATGTTGTATTGACTCAGAAGTGCTGGAGGCAATGCAATGGGGGGCGGACCGGGGGAGCTGACACATCATGGAACTTTGCAAAACAACCGGCTACCCAGCCTAACTGGCCTAACCCATATCAAGTGCTTTGAAAGGCTTCCCAGAAACCGACATGATGTGGAGGGGATAGAAATTGGCCAGGGGCTGGCTTAGGAATCTCTGATTATCTTTGCTCACATCAGTAAGATGTGCAAACCTACTGTGCAAATCCAATTGAAGTGGTAACTCAGCATCAACCTGCAAGGCACGGTTCATAAACAAACCAGGTGCTGCGCGGCCCCCACGAACAGGCTCCAGTCGGCACCCATGTTGAACTGACCCAACAACAAACACATTGATGGCAAACCCTGTGCTGCAACCGCATTGAACCTGAAAGGCCCATGTTAAACACACAAAATAAAAGCTGTTGGACAGCAGCTGAGTCTGAAGATATGTTGGTTGAGGTGTCCTTGACATACTCATAAGATGTTGGGGGAGGTCTTCTTAGAGGCGCCTTGGAGTTTGGCAAGTGTCAGGGACATAATCATACAGGGCAGGCAGCAACACAAATCACTGCCAGCATGTGTAGAAGTTTAACTAACATTTTGTCCAAAGACGGAAACAAACCCATTGCAACACACGCCTGGGTGTAGTGATATCCAGTTTGCATCTGCTTGAACCCTTCTGGAGACTCAGAAACTCGATCATGGGGAATGCACAGAAGCTCTACTGTACTTGACATCAGCAAGACTCATTCGTGTAGATTGCCAATGGCTCAGGATTTGGCTGACAGAAACCTACATCAGGGCTACAGAAACCTTGAAACGTGGCTGCATACCCATTACAAGACCTGCATCCAGCTGCTACTCTGGACAAATTATACAACAACACAAGTACTAGGTTCAAAAAACACCCGCAAGGCCTGCTTCTTTCTTGATCTTGCCTTTGGTAAAGTACCTGCTGCTCAGGGGTGATTCGAGAAACTAATCACAGAGCCTGGGGGCTGAAGATGTGAAGATGTCTTGAACCCGGCAAAAAGTGTAGGCAAACAGCTAACCCAGGCTGATGGAAATTCTTGTTGTTGTTCAGTAAAGCCTGCCATCCTACCATCCTTCATGTGCTTAAAATCTTGAAAAACCATGTGCCGGCAAAGCTGCAATCTTCCACAACATCATCATTTGAACTTAGCCATGCTTGGATAACGGCTAATTTAACATGAAGACAACACATGACAGTAAACACAAGTGAGTAAGAGCAGAGCTGGGGCCATGTGATTCACCTGCCCATGCTGCCCAAATGAAGGCCAAGTCCAACCCACTCCTAGCTAGAAGAATAAATGGCTTTAGGTGCCACATAAGTAACACCATCTTAGTCTGGAAACACCCCAATGCCCTGGAAGCAATGCCACCACATGCCTGGAAGTCATAGCCATGTAAACCCCATGGGATGAACCAAACCTTAACTGAAAACTGGGCTGCCCCCAGGACCAGGCTGGGCACACTGAAGCTCACGGATTTCGCTCGACCTTGGAAGAACACAGAGGGATTCTAGCTGAAAACACAACAATCACATCTGACAAGTCAGTCCCTAAAGCCCTAAACCCTAGCCTAAACCCTGTTGCACCTGTACCTTTGAGGCCATGCTGGGGTGTTTACAAAAGGCTGGCCTTAGAACTCACAAGCCTGGCATGACAAACTGCAGCTGGCCAAGTGTGCTTGTGGCAGAAACATCAAGGTTTACAGAACAAATCCCACACAACCAACATCAGCCAGTAATGATGGGGAAACAGTACAACCTATCGAACAGTACAACCTATCGAAAAGTAATGATTGAATACTTGAATCTCAAACAGACAGCCCCTGAGACTGATAACTGCACCGCTGGAGATTCATACTGGCATGCATCTTTTCACAATGCCTGTGGGGCGCTTGGCAAGCAGTTGCCATCATGTTGTAAGCCTTCTTGCAATACACATCTTCAACACACACAACATGAACATTTTACAGTCACTCCACAAGGACAAGTCCACCTAGATGAACTTATCACACAAGATGCACTCAAGAAGACCTGTGCAAGACACTTCAAAAAGCACCTGCACCCGCAGCCCAGCGGCCGATTCAGCAGAATTCCGGCAGGATTTGGATACCATGTTGCATGACAAGCTAGAACACGTGCCGCGGCCAGGGTACAGGTTGCAAGCAAGCTGCACAGACAGCTGCCTCTCGGATTAAGGCCCAACGGCACAAGCAAGTGTGAGAGCCAAGCAAAGTCCAACACAAACTCTGCAGTACTCTAGGCTGAGTTATGAACATCAAGACACACAAGCTTGAGGCAACAGACCAGGAGAATTTCAGCTGAATATCTGCTGACAAAAGCCTCCTCAATGCCAAGCGGGATCAATGTCAAGCACAATCTCTGCTCAGTAAATATGTGTTCTTCAAACAACCGCTGCGCAACCACTTAGCCTGGACTCACTCACGGAGGCAGCCTAGCAGAATCCAGCTCGACCAAGGCATCACCCAGGCAAAGAGCCTGCATCAGACATCTCGTACTCGCCGTCTTGCTCCTCCCCGTTGTCCACAGTGCCCTCGTCGTTGTCCTGTGTTTCACTCAACAAGCCATCTGCCCGCTCAGAGCCGGTGCCTCCAGGAGAAGCTTGCAAGGCTGCCAAGTGCCGATCATGTCCTCCGCCAATGCTGCGTTCAAGCGATAACACACGCCTGCCACGCAGCAGCTTGGTCTGGCCACGAAGCCCTTCCAACATAATCGTCAAAATGAGCCTTTGCTCCAGGATGGCGCGGTGCGTGCTGTTCGCAACGATGCTCATGCAACTGATATCCTTCCGCAACGAGGCCAACTCCACCTGCCCAAACCCCGGGGTGTAGTTCACAATGACCGTGCGCTTTCCTTCCTCGAGGCTGTACATGTGAAGCCACTCAAGAGAAAGCTCTTCCTCAGTGTGACAGCATGATAGCTGCAACAGCAAAGGATGGATGATAGCAAGCCTCATGACAAGAAAAATCTTGAAACCCAGGCACGCATGCCGTCCATGGGAACCACACAGCCGGCCCTTCATCTGCATCATCAGCAGCCTCCCCGCCTTCATCCCCATCTCCTTCACCATCAGCTCGCACAGGCGTTGAGACCGCCATCCCTTTCTGCATCATCTGGTAAGTTGCCGTCGTGACTTTGATGCCATGCTGCTCGGCAGATCGAAGCTTGAGGTCTGGAATTGAAAGGGATCGGCTGCCTCCCACCATGTCTATGTTCAAGTGCTTGCGCTCCCGCTCTGGCACAGATGCATCGGACCCAAAGACCGAGTAGACAGTTTCCAAAGGATCTGGGAGGGATCTGAACTTTGCCCGCTGTCCGGCGGCATATCCAAGCCTCGGCTCAAACTCCATGTTGTTGTAGAGGAGGCGGAACATGGGCCCAAGCGGCTTCTTCTTGTTCATGGCCGGGTTGCCCTTATGGCTGTTGATGAATTTCTTGATCTTCGCGCCAGAGTCCAGCCGCCTTCCATCCCAGACAAAGAAAAGGTCGTTTGCCTGGAAATTCTTGGCATCTGCACCCAATGTGGCAGCCACCACTTTTTGCAGGTGATCTTCATCCAAACTTGGCAAGTTCTTCCAAGGATCCTGCTGCTCGGTGCAGCGATCGTTCCATGACTTGACATCGTACAGGAAGAGAACCCTCCCCTTGGCCCTCCCATCTGGGAACTTTGTGTTGAGGTGGGCGGTCACGGCATGGGCCAAATCAGTGGCTGGCTGCTCCACAAAAGTGACACTGGACCGAACACCTTAATCAATGACAAGATTTGGCACTTAACCACAATGCACAATCAAAGTGTATCATCAAGCCGGAAACCGCACTGTTAAGGCAATGTTCGGGAGCATGCAAACAAGTACAACTTGTCAAAGACGGCATCATCCGAGCTGGAGAAGGTTTCAATGAGCATGTCAGGAAGGCAAAGGTCCGGAAATTTGACTTGCCAGAACTTCGGCACATTCTCTTTGACTGCAGGCTCCTCTGGAAGCATCTCAACAGACAAGGACTCATCCATATGCCCATGAGACACAGGTGGCTCAGGAGACTTCGGCTCTGGGGCCACCTCAGGCTCGGAAACAACGGGCTCAGCCACAGGCTTCACCAATCCAACCTCCACAACAGCCTCCTGCTCCTGCTTCTTCTCCAGTGTTGCTCCCAAGTTGAAGACTTTCTTGACACCGGGGTGTTGGAAAAGAACCTCTGCAGGGGCAAAGACATTGCTCGACAAGACTGCCGCCATGGGATCTTTCGCCATGCCGTCAAAGAGGCATGTCATGGACTCCCAAGCTTCACGCTGCCACACATGGGGGTACGATGGGGCAGGGCACTCATGCAGAAGCTCCAAGCCGTACTGCAGCGTTGTGCCCTTGGGATTCACCTGGTGGTACTCCAGCCATCCCTTCCAAAAGGTCATGCCAAGCTTTGCTTGGGCAAAGAGCAACATCCGTCGAAGCGCCAAGAAGTGGACAGTCGTATTTCGAACAGCATCACGCCCTTCCTGCAAGACAACAACATGAAGCATGGCTGTGGCAGAACTACTCTTGGCTGCAGCACCGTCCTGGCCCGAGAGCTCGCCGCGTAGCTGCTTCACCAAGAACCCTTCAATGGACCATTCCAGGAACCTGACAGAAGGAACTTTAGCTACACTGGCTGGCAGCAATCTCTGAATGTGCTCATCAATTATGAACCATGTTTGAAAATCCCTCACCTGGCCGATGCCGTGTCATCCTTGGAGGCTGTCTTTTGACAAATCATATCCAAGCCTTGCAGTGATGCAAGGCAGTGGCCTTTGCCGTAGTGACTCTCCAACACAGTCAGCAGCCGGGCACATCGATCATTGACACGATTGTTCACCTTCAGCTGAACTTCCACTGTGGATCGCTTTGGCTTGTCGTCCTCGGACCATGCCACCTTTGACAGCTCTGCAAAGACTGCGTCGACTGTGCAAAGCTTTCTATCTGCCTTCAGGCCTTCTTGAACTTTGGCCGTCATCCTCACAAGCTTGTAGCCCACCAATCCTTGCAAGGATGCATTGGCTTTGATGTTCTGGTCAAGCTGAAGCTTCTTGCGGTTGTCATTGACAGATTTGTCAGCAAGCTCCAGCTTCACTACGAAAGTTCTAGATGACTGGCGCCACCTACCCAGAAGGGCATCCCAAGCCTTTGCCTCCATAGTGGCTTTGCTCAGCATGTGTTGCCCATAGCCATAAAGCCAGGCAAGCCTGAAGGCCGCACCATCCATGACCTGGAAATCTCCAGGTTCTGGAAGGCTGTCTTTTGCAATGACACGACAAGTGGTCGTGAATCCAAGGATGGCTTCCGGCTTAACTTGTTGGGACGCAGCATCAATGAAGAAGTGGTTGTAGCAGCGAACGATGGCTCCAAGGCATGGGGGCATATCCGGATGTTCCAAAGCCTGGGCAACAACAACATGTGCAAGTTCAGACATGGAAGGGCACGTCAGAAAGCAAGCCGCTCAAGAAGAATAAGCCCTTGGCCAGACCCAGTTGGGCAAAGGTGACAAGGCCAGTGCAACTGCCAGCCTGATCCAGAGCCGCTTTGAGCCCAGTGTTGCTCAAGGCTTGCAAGCCAGCCGTATCCTCAGCTGCCGCCAAGGTCTGGATGTGGGCAAGCTCCTCTGACACCAAAGGCTTCAGGACATTCTCGTAAAGGTCCCAGGTAGGAGAATTTGGCAGGGCTTTCCACACCTCGGCCTGATTCACCAACGCAGCAGAAACATTAGAATCAGCTGGTGTCGTTGCAACCTGGGGTGTCGACGGGGCGGACGCTGTTGCGCCAGATTCAGGCACACCTGATGGTTTGGCTTTCGTCTTAACTCTGGTAACCAAAAGGGGAGCCGCGGGAGCCTTGCGCTTCGTGGGCCCTCCCATGGCTGTTTGCCCTTGGCAATGCTAAAAGCAATCAGGATGCAATCCTGAGGTTTGAGAACAAGCACAAGTCATCACAAAGCCAAGTTTGCCCATGGGTCAGCTCTGACAACATGAACCCCAAACTCGCGGGCCAAGACGCGTCTTGCCCCGTGAGTTTGGTTCTGCAGATGCACTACATTCCGAAATATGTGGTTGAGTCTTAGCCTGAGAGCACAGCGATTTGGTTGCCTCAACCAATGTGTCCAAGCTCAAGAGCAAGATGTACAGGAACCTGGCAGCCCAATGCCCAAACTCACGGGGCAAGACGCGTCTTGGCCTGCGAGTTTGGGTTTTCAATTTAAACAGTATCTCAACCTCCATGTCGGGTACTTATCAAGATACCAATTCCTAAGGATGGGTTCAAGGCTACAGCACAAAGACAAGGGAAGAAGCATTGCCTAGGCTGAATGCAGTGGTTCCTTTGCAGTTGCAGCTCACAGCCCCTAGACTATGTAAGGAGCCCTTTGTGCAAAGCATGCCAATGGCAACACATGTGCTGATTCGGGTCTCCTGGCCACTGCCAGTTAATCTCATACCGGCTTGCTTGCATTCGACACATGTTGCTGCTGTTCTGCTCCATGAAAGCTAACCCACTGCCCTCTTTGATCCTTGTAAACCAATCTCCAACAAACCAGGCCCCGGGCAGAAATGAAGCCGGCACGCTGGCTGGCAAGTACCTGGACAGATGGTCTCCTAAATGATGAACCAGAAGGATGCCAGCATGTGCACAACATGACGCGATTAAAGCCAAGTGGACTCTTTTACATAAGACAACTACATTTGTCTTTGGTGCAAAACTCTTAGAACCCATGAAGCCGAAGACCCGCAGTCCAGGGCTGATCTTAAGATGCTGCAAGTTTTCCTACACACACACACACACACACGCCAGAGAGTGTCATTTTCCCTGCCAGCAAGCTCCAGCCCCAGGGCCAATGATATGGCAGGTCATAGGAACTTGGGGTACCAGCAACAGCAAGGGATATTTCGGCCAGGACCCCATAATCACTGTTTGTTTAATCTAGATTTGCAATTGTCGGACTTTGTCGGGCTCCTGAATGTGCATGGCTTTGCACATGAACAGCATCTACGCTGTTCCTTAGGGACTGACTGAACATCCTTCAACTGAGAACCCGCTTCAATCATCTACTTACAAACTTGAGCAATCAAGCCAGATCCCTACAAAAAGTATTCCCGCAGTTCAGCCATTGTGGCCCTCTCTTGTGGAAGACTCAAACATTTGCCGATCAAGGCCACTAGGCTTGGGTCATATGGAATGCGCCTCTTCATGCGTTGCTGGGCCTCACAGCAAAGTCCACTGCAGGCCTTTTTGATCTCCATGTCAAAATAAAAGCTGGGGTCCGAGATGAGTCGGTAGCCGCCGCACACTGCAAAACAGTCGTAGAGCACACAGCCGAATGCAAAAATGTCCGCAGAATATGTAATACGCACCTGCAGACTTGCATGCAAGAAATTACAAGAAGAGGAAACACATGTTTGTGTAACATGACCTTTGTTCAACATGTGGCCTTCTTGTTGTGCCCAGACAGGAACTCTACAGGCCTGTACCCCACAGTATAGACCTCAGAACCAAGAACAAAAACTCCTGGGCCACCATCAGTCATCTCCCTTGTGCTGCCAAAGTCAGCCCACTTGACTAAGACGGAATCACCCAGGAAAACCACCACATTGTTTGTCTTTACATCACAGTGGAGAAGCCGTTTCCCCGCCAAGAAGTGAAGGCCAGACAGAAGCTGAGCAGCCAGTGCATTACGGCTGCTTAAGCTTGGGCCCGGGGGCACTGCCAAGTGGTGCTGCTGAAGCCAGGAGTGCAAATCACAGTTGCCGAGTTCCATGATCATGCCAGTCCTGGGGGTTGTTACCATAGAGTAGGCACAGATGATATTGGGGTGACGAAGACCAGAAAGGAACCGGAATTCATCTGCCAACAGGTAGACCTCATTACCATCACTCAGGGTCTGCTTCTGCATCTTCATTGCCACCGAGAGCCCTGTCTGCTTGCTCTCAAGCTTGACCACAGAGCCGTTGCCACCCTGCCCAAGCAAGCCCTTGATCGTCCAAACTTGCGCAGCATAGTGAAACTCCCCAGAAACCAGCTCATCTTGCTTACTGGGCTGCTCCTTCTCAGCAATGCTCTGAAACTCAACCCTGCCGTGTTTGACAGCCTGTCGCATGACAGCATTGGTTGCTGCCACGTTTGACGCTTGTAGCTTCCAGTGCTCACGAAACTGTTGGCTAGAGTCCCTTTGCTGCACACGCCAAATGAACAATAGGGACCAACACAACAACAAGCATACACATCAAAGCTTGAGTTCTAACATGACCCAAGTATCCATTTCACCTTCAGGTACTTCAAATCCTTGCATATGGTTTTGCAGCGCAATCGTCTGAGTGACTTGGTGGAAACCCCCTGAGCTGAAGCGTGAGCACAAAAGGCCCCATAGGAGCTGGCAGCTCGCTTCAAGCCAGCATCCTTGTTTGTAGCACGACCCATGGCGATGGCCCTCCCGTGACTTTAGTAAGGGGCAGCAGGTAAGCAAACTATCATGTAGCAATGGGACCCTGATCGGAGGCCTGGTACAATCTTTTGCAATGTTTTAATATGCCTGCCACATTCATCCTGCACTCCCCAGACTGCTTCCTTGCTTGCTGGCTTCATGCACTAAGGACTTGGGCAGGCTCGTTGCTTCTAGCATAGTGGCAGACGGGGCCAAATCCACACAAAAGCTGACAAAGCAGGTAACATAACGCTTGTGCAACCATGCCATGAACTTGAAGCATCACAAAACATTCAGCAGACTGTGCAAAATCCGAGGGTAGAGAGAACCCCGGGTGAAGCAAAAGCCTCGACAACCCCTAATGTCCTTCGACACCCCTCAAACATGTGTTCAGCCTGGAAACTATTACCCAACAGGGAACCCGGGGGCACTGCAGCTGCTGAAAATGGCCCGAACCTGAGCTGGCGGTTGGGTGTGGCATTCTGAAAGAGCCTGGGCTACCTGGATACAAAAGGGGAAGCTTTCTGGGGCCAAGGCCTATCCTGTAATCTATCATCTTGGAAGACTTACAGTGCCGAGGAAGCATTGAGTCAGTCATGGTGCTGTGTTTTGGACAACAGAAACCTGAGCCCTCAACACATGCAAATCATAAGCACCAACATTCTTGATCCTTGACAACACAACCCAAACCTGTCATTGTGTCACTGAATACACCCACCCATTTAAGCCTTTGGCCGGCACCCCCCAGGCACCCACCTCAGAATAGGTAATAAGTTAAACGACTCACCACACCCTCAAATATCAGTTATTGCCTCATCTGAGTCAGATCCAAGGCAGCGGCCACAGAGCAACACCAGCCAGACCTGGCAGCTGTGATTCTTACAAGTGGTTGGCTTGACATCAACTCAACAGACATAAGACAGGACACTGATTTGCTGCAGTACTGCCACAAAAACATGGTTTGTCCACACATGGTAGTTAAGGGTGCGGGGGTGAAGAAACTAGTTTGGGAGAGAGGATTGGGGATGTGCTAGAAAAGTGCTTGGGAGGTGCTGGGGAGGTGTTAGAAAAGTGCTTGGCAAAGACAACATATACAATTCCAAGGGCTCCACAAGCCAACACTTGCAGCCCGCATAGTAGCCACACCAAACTACTTTTCCAGCAGCAAGCACTCATTGGGATCAAGACCCTTCAACTTCCCTCAATGCAACATCAGAATTAATCCCGGTCGTCTGCCCGGGCTTTGTTTCAAGTTCAGAACGACTACTTGAAACGGCAATCCGAGCTGCATTGCTGCGTTGTAAAGCTCCCACCCTGTCCAGCTACCCAACGACAATGCTGAGAACCTTTCTAGGAAACACTGCAACTAACATTGCGCATTGTCTCTTGACTTCCAATTGTTGGTCAAGGTCTCCATCCCTCTCTCTCTGTCTCTGTTTCTCGCGCTCTCTCTCTCTCTCTCTCTTTGCTTGTTTCTCTCTCTCTCTCTCTCTCTCTCTCTCTCTATTTATGAATGAAGGCAGAACCCTTTATGATTTCAACTCTAACTGAAGGACCTCCCCACTGTTTTCATGTCGCCTCAACACAGCGTCCGCAAAGGCTGAGCAACTGTCGCAAGTCCAACTGCTGAGTCGAGGAGGCTCGAAGCTCACCTTCAGCCTGATGTTGAGTCTCACGTTGAGCCTCACCAGTGCCCACAACAAGCTCATATGTCAGCTTTGGATAGAGCAGCTTCTTGCCATGACCCACATAGTCTTGCACTGTCCCAGAGTGCACTTCCAACCGTTTGACATGTGCTTTGGCAGTTGCAGACTTCATCAAAGGACTCCGCTCGCAACACGCTTGCAAAGCTCGGGAATGCTGTGGATGAGCAGCTGCAAAAGAACCAGTGATGAAGAAAATGAAATGCTGCTTGTGCATGCTTCCGTTGAACTTGACCTTGCGGTTCTCCAAGTCCTGCAGCCAAGCGCCCTCCAGCCGAGCTAGCAATGCCTCTGCCGTTTCCCAGGCAGCTGTCACAGATGACACCAACACAATGTCAGCCGTTTTGGGGAAGTTCGTGAAGACGCATCCGCTTGGCAGGGGCAGTCTACGTGACTTCCGCACGCCTTCCCCCAGAAGCACAGTGGGGTGCAAAGGCAGCGCCTTGGGCACAGCAGGTTGACGGAGAGGAGCACCCTCAGGCTTCACCAACATGCTGCCACCTGTTGAATCAACGAAACTTGCAGGTTGGCCCGGAACGGCAGCAGCCTGTGCCGCAGCTCTTTTTTCAGCAACCTCAGCTTGCTTTTTCACAGCCGCCACAGCCTTGGACCAATCCAGACCATCAACATCGTTGTTGTCCGAGGCTGGCTTGGATGCCAGTAGAGCTGCCATTGCAGAAGGTGTGGACGCAGAGGATGAGGCCACATCTGGAACAGGTTTGGGCTCAGCATCTTGAAGCTTTCGTCGCTTGCGCATCTGCCATGCCTCGTCCGCCATGTCCCCGAGCATGTTCTTGGTTGGCCCAGGTGCAGGAAGCACGGTGCCCAAGACAGTTTCAGGAACATCCCCAGATTTAATCTGGGCAACAGCTGCATTGCACGACGCGGTGTGCTGCTTCAGCTGCTCGGCCTCAGACGACTTGCTGCAAGCTTTCGATGCCTTGAGTCGTGGCTTTTTCTGTTGAACCATGCTCTTGCCCAGATCAGCCAGACTAGCCACTTCCAAGCTTCGACCAACACTGGCACGCTCCCCAAACCATTGTGAATACAGCCTCTGGCATTTCAGCAAATAGGGAGTCGCAGGATGCAGCACAGTGGCACCCCCTGAAGTTGTTGCTGGGGCATCCTTGCTTAAGAGAGACTTTGGAGACAGTCTCTCCCGCCTGCGGCCGTGCAGATCTTGTTGGAGGAGCTTCAGACTTGCCTCCAAGCTCCTGTCATGCACGGTATTCCTGCCAGGTGTCTTGAGGGAGCCAATGCAGCCGATGAATCTTTCAATCGTCCCTGTCCCTGACAGAGACGCAAGATAGAATTCAATCAAGCGCTTAGCATCCTTGTGGCAATCTGACCGCTGCTTGCTCAAGTCTTTCCAGACTCTCAGCCAGGCCTTCTGATGTGGAGACTCGGGAGGATGGCAACGGTGAGGACCTCCTTTCTCATCTCCAGCTGCAGCAATCCCAGCTGGGGAATTCCAATAGCGGGCTTGGGCCAGAAGACCAGTTGAGCGGCCGTTCCCCACAATGGACTCCCACGCCTTTCCGCCGTCCAGGCCCAGACGTTCAGCTAAGCTTTTCGTGAATTTTTCACGGTCGCTCAAAGACAGCTCCACTTGCAAGTTGAACAATACCATACAATTGGCTTCCTGCAGGGAGGTTGTTGCAACAAAGCATAAAGGGAAACAGGCTGGAACCTAACAAACATGACGTCCACAGTTGCAACAGCCAAACTTTTACAATGCAAAGCTGTTGCAGGATCATAACTGTCCTCATAGCCCGGGAAGTGGCTCTTGAAGAAGGCTTCGAAGATGGCGTAGAACCTGCAAGTTGTTTGTGCAAGCCTACCTGTTCAAAACCCTGCCAAATCTCAGGAACAAATCAACCAAAAATCGTTGCCCAGCCGTGTCACACTGACCAGTGTGAAGACGGTTTGCTGAGGCACTGAAGTGGCCAGGGCTCCACACATGTGCTTGCCAGTGTTTGCTTCTGTGTGCATTTGTGTATATGGGCACATGTGTGTCTACTTGCATGTTGCTTTTCTCTTGCTTCTTGAGGCTTGTTTGATGGCACATGGGTACGCGCCACACACACACATGTGCGTGCGTGTGTCTGTGTCTGTGTTTGTGATTGTGTGCTGTACAGATGGGATGTTGTTTGTGTTTTCATTGCATATACCTCTTAGTTTCTGCCTGTGCTTGTGATAGGGGAATGGGGCAGCAGTGTGCTATTATGGCCTATCTTTAGCCACGGGTATATGGGTGGGTGTGGGCCCAAGTCTACGGGGGCCACAAGCACTTTATTAGAAGCCTACCAATTGCATGGCGATCCTGCCCCACAAGCTGGTAAACCTCATGAACACAATCCTCTTGCAAGCGAAGCGCTCTCGAGCCACAGCCACCGGTCTTGCCCTTGCAGAGGTGTTGGGCGCGGGCCACCTGATGGCAACAGCCTGGGCCTTGGACCCCTCGCCACAAAAGATCAGCTTGTCTTTTATGGCGCGGAGCACGCCATGTACCAAAGTGTCCTTTGCTTGAGGCAGCCAAATGCCCCCATCCTTGAGCAAGTGCCGCAAATCCGCGAGGCACTTTGCAGCGGCATCGGCCGACAATGCAAAGTCTGCATTTGATTCATCAGCCACCCGCAAAAAAGGTGCCGCCACAATCATGGTGTCAGCCACAAGGGCTGCCGACACAACGACGTTGAACCCCTGGTCCCCACTGAACTGCAGGAGGAGTTCTGTGGCAAAGGCTTTGTCCTCCGGCTGCCAAGGACCCCGGCCACTTGCGATGTCTTCAAGCATAGCCAAAACAACCACAAGCAAGCGGAACAGCCGGTGCAAAGGGCGGATGCGGCTGTCGAAGCGGTGATCGGCAAAACTCATAGACTTGATCAAGTTGCTGAATCCAATGGCAGTCTCGAGCTCTTCTTCCCCAGCCGCCGAACGAAACTTCTTCTGCTTGTCGGTGAAAGCCTTGCGGAACTTCTCTGATTGCTGAATCAAGCTGCAGAGGCTGCGCGGTCCCAGCATCAAGGAATTTATAAACTCTTGGAATACCGGCGGAAGTTTCGAGAAAAAAAGCTTCTGCACAGACCTGACACGATGAGCCCTGTCACGGGTTATCAGCCCGCAATGGGGAAAGAGGGCCTGTCTGCCAGGCACGCCAACTAGCTCCCCCACTCGGGGACTGCATTCATAGGCAGCCCTCTGCTCTGTCGGCCCGCCGTCAGCTGTGATGGATACAACAGAATCACAAAAGGCCTGTGCGGCCCGATCATCTGCCACATCATCTGGCCCAAAGTATGGCGTCTCCCGGCGTTGAGTTCCCCTCTTTGTTGCTGCCCTGAGCAAAATGCGTTTCAGAGCTTCCACAGTCACACGAGCCGCATCAGCCTCGTCCGAATCAGGGCTTGTGTTGCTGTCGATCCCGAGCAAGAACTCGTACAGGCCTCCTGCCTTCGTCAACGTACGTGCGTACGCTACCAAGTACACTCCTCCTTTGTCGATACCGATGGAGGATGCAACCGAGTTCTGCATCGCCCAAAGGTCTTCCTCATCGAGGGGGGCGCGCAAACATTGAAGCAACTTTCGAGTCACCGTTGAAGACGAATCCGCCTCTGGGCCCAGTAACGAAGACCCGACGCTGCCACTTGCAGCATCATCCACTGCCGATTCGAATGAAGCTCGTTTCAACACCCCATTGAGAGCTGCAACCCAAGTGTCCATCCTTGGCACCGTTGTGGTCAGCCCTGAAACTATCCCATGCCTTGCAGCTGGCTCAGGCACAGAATCATCAACTGACCCAGCCTGCCGAGCTTGAGCAGCCTGCAATTCCTCCAAGGCGTTCATGTGCTTCTTGTTCTTGCTGTGATTGGCCAAGTCAGACCCCTGGTGGGGCTGCATCTTCAAGCTGGAGTATGGTGAATTCACTTTTCCGCTCCGGCAGATAAAGCATCCAACACCAAACGGGTTGCTGGAAGATATTACCCAAGACTGCCACGGCAGCTGTGGCCCAAGCCGAAAGGCACAATGACGCTTCCAGGAATATTTGTCATCTGATCTATGCAGCAGGGTGGATTTCCTTCGAAGACGCCCCAAATAACCTTGCATCCAGAAACATTCACAAAACACTGCTTGTCCACAACACCAAAAACCCAAAGATGCTGCTGCTAAGACATCGCAACACTTGCATACACATCACCTTAAAACTCGAACCGCACACATGAAGACTTGCCAAAGAAAGCCCGGCCACCAGCAGCAAAAAGGCAGTGAGCACACTTGGAATGTCCATTTGGGCATGTCTCCAGGTGTGCTTGCAAATCCTCAGTGCTGGCAACTTCCAAGCCAGGAATGCTTGGGGCCTCCCCAATGGCAGCACCGACAGGAGGGCCTGCCTCCTCTGGCTGCAAATCTTCTGCCATGCTGACCCAGACAAGGGTTAGGCGACCCAACCTTGTGTGTACAACTACACGCACATGCCCACTTTTGCATATTGCTACATGTGTATATATATATACATATGTATGCGTATATGTCTAAATATCTACATACACAAATACATACCTACAAAGGGTGTGTAAAGACATGAGACATACACATGTGTGTGCAGGCACACTTGCATACCGTACATGCCGCATGTTATTACACCCTATGACAGGCGATGGGTGCCACATCTGCAACATCTAGAATAAAACCTGTCCTAGGAGAGGCGCCTGAGAAAGAGGCAGTGTGCCAGAAGCTGCGCAGTTCAGGTTTTGCAGCACACCCAGACAGTTTACCGGCCTTGCATGAAACCAGACACCACTGACCCCAACCAGCATGATGCTCCAACCAGGACTCCCCCAACTACCCTGAATCCCTTCAAGAATCTCTGCCCATGAATCTGAACCCAAGGTTAGTGTTCAATTCCGTTGGGACATGGGTGAGTTTACTGGGGAGCAAAGTTAAATGACGATGTGAGCAGAGAGAGCTGTTCATGTGCCTGTCACACATGGAGGTTGGTTTCAAAACCTTCACATCCCCAGGTTCAAACCCTATCTATCAGGGTGTTGGAGGGGCTTAGGGTGGAGGTGCTGCTGGGGAGGTGCTGTGGAGGTGTTGGGAAGGTGCCGGGGAGGTGCTGGGGACGTCCGGGGAAGGGGCAGCTAAAGCTAGGCACCAAGAACCTTCCTTCTAAAGACACCCCAACTCCAGGTCCATCACTTCTGCATCACCGACAGTTCCAAAAACCCTGCTTAGTGAATTCCTTTTGCCCTGAATCTGAACTCCTCGACAACTTCCACGAGCAAGCCAGCCTGGCTGCTGCATCAGTCATCATCTGAGCACGACCTAGGTTGGATCCACTAACTCCAGGAACACACAGCCCAAGCGCGAATTGACCCTAAACCCCAACCTAAACCCCAACCTAAACCCCAACCTAAACCCAAAAGCTTAAACCCAAAAGTTCAAGAATGGTGAGATTGAGCGGGCTAATGATCACCAGTTGGCAACCATTAGCTTTTGAACTACGTCGAAAAAGTTTAATAGCTCCCAATGGAAGCCATTAAACTAGAAACTTAATTTTCAAATCAATGGTTGAGGAAAACCATTGATTGCAAAACCCTACGCCTACTAGCAACAATCAAAGTTGTAGACCTGCCCTAACCTATCACACACTGTGGATGGGGCTGGAGCCGGATGCGACGTCGTGTCGCCGCTCACCTGCGAGTCAAGGAGCATGTTTGACGTGGCGTTGATACCGAAACGCAGCTGTATAGTGTTAATGGAAGTTTCAAGGTAGAGGGGGCTCCATGTTCGGTCCATGACCCACCAGTAACCGTATCCCAAGCTTCGATACTGGATGTTTCGTTTCGGGTGGGGTGCGGGCACTTTGGCTTTCCCTTGAGTTGAACACAGGGCTTCGCTTTACGGCTTCATCAGGGGTATAAGGCTTATGGTTTAGAAGAGTGCTCCATTGTGCATTCGTGGCAAAGTTCACCGATTAGGTTCCGAGGGTACACTGTCATTTCTGCTCTATTCTCGGCCGATACAAGCTTCAGGATTGCAATGGTTCGGAGCAGAAGGTGGGATGGGATTTAGGACGATCCACCTGAATCCTGAAATGCAGCCACACTTTTTCCTCTGCCCCGCCCCAGCCGATCGGCAGCCTCACGCAGCCGCTCCTGTGCCACCGCCAGCTGCCCCAGCTCATGCAGCGACTGCTCAGAGGAGACGACGATCGGAGCTGAAGCATGCTGCCGCGCCACCTCCAAGTCTTGGCGCCGACGAGCCTCCAGCGTCGCCGCTCTCTTCTCGGCCGCCATCCTCCTCTTCTCAGCTGCAGCCGCTGCCTCCTGCTCCTCCAGCTTCCTCTTCTTCTCCTCGCGAGCCTGTCTGCGGCGGCGCTGATTCTTGACAGCCAGTCTCGCTCGCAGCTTCTCTGTCGAGGAAGAGTGATCCTTGGTCGGCTCCAAATGAAATATACAAAAGCTCCAAACTTAAGCCCGAAAGACACATAAGAAGGATCAAAATGATATTGGAGTCCTGAGCTGAGTTGCGCTGGATCTGCTGCTGCTGCTGTTGCTGCTGCTGCTGCTGCGTCGGCCAGGAGCTGGAGGTCTGCTAGACGAAGATGGCTCGGGCTGCTCCACATCGACAGCTGCCTCCCGGTTGTAAACACGTAAACTTAAATCCATCCCAAAACTCCTAAATCTATGCATCTTCCCCGTGCAGAGAAACCTATTTTTGAAAAAGAACCTAGACCAATCGTAACCACTCACCTCCTCTGCCGGAGCAGGCTCTGCCGGAGCAGGCTCTGCCGGCTCAGGCTCTGCCGGCTCAGCCCGTGCAGCATCCAGCGAGGGCTCCTTTGGCACCTGACCGGAACCGCGCACGACACCCCAAACCATAAATAAAACCCAAACCCTGAAATCTCTAGCCATGCCCACACCTGAACCTATTCTTGCCTACACCCTCCAAACCTCGGGAGGCTCTGGGCGAATCCACTTGGCAGATGGAGCCATGCCAGCACGATGAGGTCTTGCTTCCTTGGTTGATGATTGATAATGTAACAGAGAGCTGCCCAACAAACCATCGAGTATAAATGTCGCCGGCAACAATGGTGATGTCAAATAAGGCTGCTAAGTTGGAAGAGAAACCTGCTTTGGCAATGGAGGTCTTACACCAACAACAATCGGAGCAGCAGCCTTCGAAGGTGTGTGCACATAAGCAGGACGCTCAGTCCGCACAGGGATCTCCTTGGGCTTAATGAAGGGTCGCAGCCAAGTCGAAGCAGCCTGGGCCCAAGAATCGTTTCGGGGTTTAGGCCAGCCGGGAGAGCTGCAACAAGCCTATGAGGAAAACAGCACAGGATACGTATTACTTCGGGTTTGGTTATGCTCAAAGCCGAGAATCAGGTCTCACCGGATCGCGCCGCCCCACTGAAGTGGCCCCAGCACCCAGTTCCGCAGCCGTGGGCAGATGACCGTACGGAGCCTTGGCCTTGCCAGGCACAGGAGCCCCAATCGGCTTGGCAGCAATGGCAGGATTGGCAGCAGGAGTCGCAGGATCATCAGAATCAGGACGTCGTGGCATCCGGCCCACAGGCAATGGACGTGCAGATATTGGGCACTCCTGTGGACAGGAGTCAAGAAACAATGGATTCACTTTAACTTGCGAAACACAAGCATGATGATTTGAATAAGGATGCAGTTAAGTAACTGGACTGCCCAGTGGCACCCTATACCCAGAACCAGCAGCTGCTTCAGCATAAGAGCGGCGCCGCCTAGTAGGAACAGGCGGCTCCTCCTCGTCCGCCATGGCGAGCACACAAAAAGCTTCGACCAATCTGCTATCTAGCCTTGGGATCGCACTTGGCTGAGATTCCCTGAATCCGAACATTCGGGAAGTTTCTGGAGATTGTTATTTGGGACGAAACCCCACAATTCCAGAATGCCAAGATTCCCGTAGACTAGGGTGACGGGGGATCTCGGGTTTAGGATTCAGGAATATATTGTAGAAACGGAACGAAAACCCTAAGAACCTTTGAATGGCGGCGGAGCGGAACATCCAACAAGTAGAGGCCCCGAACTCCCGGAATTCAAGTGACATGGTGGACCCCATACTACAGCACTCAACTTCCTAAACAATGGGCAACCGGTAACCCACCCAGCCTTTGAGAGCCCTGCGCGACCTTCTCTGCTATGCTCCGAAGCTTCCACCAATCAACCCTGAATACTAAGCCGGAAAATCCCATACCCTGTTCGTCCCGGTGCCGCCTTGACGTTGCCCACTGCAGCATCCAGCGGCGTCGCACGTCATGTACCTCTTGTGCTGGAATCGATTGTTATATTGTCGCAGCATCTGTCGCATCAAGTGTATGTAATCTAACCTGTCGCACAGCAGCTAAACTGAGCTCATGTTCCCTAACTGCAGGTGAATAATCCGACACTGACAGCATGAGACTGCAGACATCGAAGGATCAAAGTTGCGACGCTGTCAACGCTTGGCGCACGAGCCGGTTGTCCCTGCGGCGGTGGCTTTCAATCACCGACATCTCTACCAAGAAAGCAAACCACCCGCGCCCCTCCCCGCAGAATAAATGCGTGGCTCGGCACGCATTTATTATTATTCCCTGCCCTACACTTCATGGTTTATTGACAATGGAATGCCAATAAACGAACCCACTTCTTGCCCGCATCTAAACCCCAATTGCCTAAACCCCAATTGCCTAAACCCCAAACCCCTCCCTGGCAGAATAAATGCGTGCCTCAAGGAAACGCATTTATTCCCTACATTTCATGGTTTATTGACAGAGGAATGCCAATAAACGAACCCACTTCTTACCCGTCTAAACCCCAGTTGCCTAAACCCCAAGTGCCTAAACCACAAATCTCTAAACCCAAAAATAGAACGACTGCATCAATCGTCATCTTAAGCCGTCAACCCGGGACCTCGTCGTCCTCCCAAAAGTCGCCATGGCCAATCACCTTGCCACCAGCTGGAGCCAATCGGGAGATTTCAATCGGCCTGCGAATCCTCAGTTTAATGACCACCAGCTAGCTGGCGGCCATTAAACAAGCTACGGAAGGGGTACTACTTCAACCTACAATATCCTTGGTCCCCACACGACTCAGCTCCTGTAATCCAAACGGGGCCCTAAACGCAAAACTGTCTGAAAATCTAAGAGATCCCTAATCTCGCAAAGTCCTAAACCCAAGTCCTAAACCCAAGCCCTAAATCTAAAGCCTGCCCGAAGAGCCCTAAACCCTATCTAAACCCAAATCCTAAACCCGACATTGCCCAAGAGCCCCCATGTGTTTAATGACCATCAGTGAATGACGGCCATTAAACCTCTAAACCATTCTATTTAATGATCATCAGTTGATGATGACCATTAAATCCTAGTCCACCCAATAGGATGAATTAATGACCATCACAAGGTGATAGCCATTAATTAACTGAAGTTCCCGACCTCTACTCACTCTTAATCTGAATCAAATGCGTCCCAGTGGCACAAGTGATTCTCCGCCAAGACGTAGATGATGCAGGGCAGTGTGGGTTCAGTGCTTTATGCTTGGGGATTTCAATGGGTGGACTAATGCAATGCGATGTGTGCTGTGAGCTTTGCAAAACAGCTTCAACGGGCGATCTGGGCAGTAAACCCAACCCTTCCCCCGAAAGCGTAAAGTGCACCCGCTCAGCTACTAAGACAACTCTAGTCTGGCATCCCCAAACCAATAGAAATTAAAAATTTTTTTCAAAACAGCCCCAGTTTAGGGCTAAATCCTCAAGCTCTCAACTCCTCAACCCTAGCGCCCTGAAGCTGTAAACCCTATACAGTCCGCAACAACAAAACCCCAAAGTCCTCAGAACCCAAAGCACTCAACCCCAAGCTGCACTTTACCCTACACCCTGAACCCTCAAGCTTATAAAACCTTGTAACCCCAAACCCAACACCCTAAGAAGTAACCCTAAACCCTATAAGAAGTTCCCTGAACCATAAACCCAAAACCCTAAACTGCAAATAACCCAATAGACCCTCCCTAAACCCTAAACCAAAAGCCCTAAACGGTAAATAACCCCATAGACCCGAGCCAAAAGACTCGGAGAAGGAGGCCGGTCCAGGGCAACAGCAGTTCCGACTGCACCTCGGCCATGTCCAGGATAGGGTTTGGGGTTTGTGATTTCTAAGGATTTAGGAGTTCTGAGGCTAAGGGTTTAGGATTCAGGGGTTGAGGGTTTAGGGTTTGGGGATTTAGGGGTTGAGGGTTTATAGAGGGTTGAGGGTTTGGGGCTTTATAGACCTACTTGTCGGGTATCATGGGGAACTCAAGGTTAACCTGTTAGGTTATATAGGAATTACATAGGGACTATACTACCCCAAAAAGGTTAAAAGTTACTTACTCTACTACTAGGTAGAGGGTTGAGGGTTTGGGGATTTGGGGGTTGGCGTTTGGAGTGCAGGGGCTTAGGGTTGAGGGATGTTGAGGGTGTAGAGGTTTGGGCTTTAGGGTGTAGAGGGTCTAATTTAGGGCTTTGAGCCTTAGGCAGCAGGTTTTAGGGTTTATAGGCTTGAGGGCAAGTTCAAGGAATTGAGTGGGGAAAGCGCAGAAGCTGGAGAGCTATGTTCACCCTCCTCAACTAAGGTCTATAGCTTACGCATCTTATTCAGGATCGCCTGTAAAACTTCAGGTATATCCCCAAGTCAACGCTTTTGGAACCCATGTATATATATATATACACACACATGCATATGTCTGTGCTTGCTTGCTCAAATAAATTTGTACCCTGAATTAATGTAGTTCAGGATCCCTCTAAAGCTTCTGGGTATATCGGGGCTCACCTCGAAGATCCATTGCCTGCATTTGAATTGTGGGTGCTGTCACTGTGTAGGTGCCCTTCCTTACCCTGAGAGACCTAAGTACAATTATGGGGGATACTTCCCCACGCCATAATGGTACTTCCCACTGTCGCAACCATGTTTTTGCCATTCTAAGCACTTACTAGTAGGACAATTTGGGCAAAAGAACACCCGAAACCCGCAGCCGCATCAAGCAACCCTCAACTCCACCTTCGGCGATACAAGCAGACAAAACAGTAGGAATGTCATGCTGCTCTAAGACGCAGGCGAATCAATCGCATGAAAAATACATTGCTCCACTTTCCAAGCACTGAAAAAGTCAGCATAGTTTGAGGTTTAAAACTCTTTTAATTAAACTCTCAAAGACTGTGTCAAACCCTTATGCAAAGGAAATGTGGCTGATTTCATGTAGACCTCTCGCACAACAGGGATTGTCTCGATCGCCATCCTGCCCGGCAGATGCCATCACTGGTGAGCGCAAATGCACATGCTGCTGCAGAAGCCGTGAGCACGTGCTTCTGTCAATGAGGAAACACAAAGGACCTTCAGCCGCTTCAGCCACCTATCGAACCCGAAGGCTCTACAGTAAAGGCTCCCGTTTTAAGGCCTTTGAGGTAATTACCCCCAATTTTCGGAAACTCCCATATGAATCCTACTATTGAGGGGTTCTAAAGACCATATTATGTAAGGCTTTTGGGCCATTGTGAGCCTTAGGGGAAGAAATCAATCCAAATTTCCCGCCTAAACCCTAAACCCTTAACCCTGGGCTGTGATTCACGGACCGGGGTCTGACCAAATGTGTGTTGCAATCATGCTTCCCTCACTGCAGTCCGTAGACCCTAAACCCTACCTAGAGTCTCCATTGTAGTCCTTTTTTTGGTTTAACCAATTTTAGACTAAGGGTCCGAAAAGGTAACCCCCAAAAGGAACTACAATGGAGACTATAGGTAGACCCCGAAAGATCCCTTCTGGAACCCTGTAAGAAGCCTCTCCAGGAGCCCGTTAAGCTACGAATCCCAAACGGTCCAAAGTACCCATATGGGTGGTTGTCAAAATTGGGGTCCCTTTTTGGGTCCATATTGTAACACGGCACCTATTATTTAGGGTACCCAAAAAGGGACAATAATTTTGACAGCCACCCATATTGTAGAATGCAGGGTTTCCATTATGGGAATTACGATTATATGATTTGGGGAAGTATCCCCCATTACAGTACCTAGGACCCGTTGGGAACTCCCATGATCCTTCAAGTAAAGCCTTAGAGCACTCGTGACTTGGCTATTTTGGCCCCACCGAGGCACCAGTCGCCATCAGGATCGCACAGGCTGCCAAGCTGAATTCAAGGCCTGACCCAAAGCAGCGTCTCTGGAATTTGGGGTTTAGCTACCTTAAGCCGGAATAACCTACCTTTTTTAAGGACTTATATAAGGAAATCATAATAAGGAACCCCAAAAAGGTAGGTTATTCCGGCTTAAGGTAGGGTTTAGGAAGTTTCGGGGTCGGGGGGTGGGTGTAGGAGTCTGGGAATTAAGGGGTGTAGGGGTTTAGGTGTTTAGGGTTTCAGGGTATATGTTTTCGGGGGGTAGCTTTGCGTGCTTACTCTAAGGCGCGGAGGGATACTGACCCAAATCACAAGAAAGATTCCTGATATAGACTCTACACTCTATCATATTAATACTTAGGACCCTTCGGGAGGTAGGCTGCTAATCAACAGTGAATTTTCAAAAGGCCCTAAAAATGTAAACTCAAAGCCTTGGCGGCTTTGCATATAATGTGCAGGCCTTGATAATTGGAACGGCGTGTTCAAGATGTCATAATTACCCATAGGCCCCATAGTGCCATAGTAGTTCCTTTTGGGATTACCTTGTAGGATTCCAAACATGAACCCCCAAAAAGGAACTACTATGGGGCCTTTAAGTAAACTGTATAGGGACATGTATCGCCTCGGGTCCAATAT